CAGGGTTGGATTCCTGGCCAAGGGCAGGTACCTCAGTTGCAGGCTGGATCCCTGCAGGGTCAGGCTTGTGCAGAAGGCAACCAATTGATGTGTCTCTCTCACATCCATGTTTCTTTCTCTCCTCTCTGTCTCTGTCTCTGTCTCTGTCTCTCCCCCCCCTTCCACTCTCTCTGAAAAGCAATGGAAAAAATATCCTTGGGTGAGCATTAAAAAAATAATAAATAAATAAATATATAAACAAATAAATAAATAAGATTACATATATGAAGTATTTTCTTTGGTATTTCCAAACCTACTAACACTATGCTATTTAATTTTCTTTAATTCATAGCTTACAAAAATCTTTGCATTGGGCCTCCTGTTCTGTACTCAAGAGCTTGATGATTACACTAAAATAAATGGGTTTCTCTGCTAATATAAAGAGAAAACAAAAGCCCCCTCTAACAGAAAATATTGGCCTTGCTCCTTAACAGTAAATATTTGTCTATGCTTTCCAGGGCGTTTTTTCAAAGGGCAATAAATTCCGAGTGAATAACTAAAGTCATTCTAACAAATGCGTAAAACAAGCTCTTAAACTTAATAATAAAATAAACAAAGTTTCACACTTGAAACTTTATAGAAATTATATCTAATTATGAATATACACCTCAAAAATGACTACTACTGGGTCACCCCAAATTTACCTGGGCTACTTCCTAACGGCAATTCTGTAGCGTTTAATCCCTAAAGAGTCCTGTCTTAAGTTTAATCACAGCAGAGAAAACATGGTTCGCCCCCTCCGCAGAAGGCAGTCACGCTAAAACCCTTCCAGGCTTTGTCACCAAGTCCTAATCCAGGGGATTAACAGGAACTGCCTGCCTCTGCAGAAGTGTTGGTTGGTGCCTTTCCAAACCCAATGAGACAGAAGAGATGAGGCTAGGAAAGAGCCATTTTTGCTGAAAATATCCCTCTCTGTCCAGGTGTCCCCAAGAGGAACCACAGGCCAAGCGCTTCAAAGAGTTCAGTACTGCCCCAGGCAACCCACTCCCCGGGAGCTGGCCCGCGCCTCCGGGCCACCGCCAGTCGCTCGCCCGGCTGCGCACTCGTCCCGGGGCAGCTGCTTCAGACAAAGGCCGCCAGACAACCCGCCGCTCCTGGGCTCCGCCCTGTCCCGTAGGTCCCTGCCCTGTCCCGTCCCGCCCTGGCAGCCGGGACTCTAAACAAAACCTGCGCTCACCATCGCGAGTCTCTCCTCAGCCATCTTGGCTCCGCCCACGGCTGCGCAGCCGGAAGTAAGCGGTTTCCTAGACAACCAGGCGCACGGAACTTGTAGTACCAGGGAAGGGGCGGGGCCTGAGCAGAGTAAGAAGTAGATGGAAGAGCCGGGGTTTGCCCGCACCACCGAGGGTTTGGGGGAAGCTAGGGAAGGGTTGGGTGTGGCCTCACTGGTAGTTTGGCGCCAAGGGAGCTGATGAGGGAATGCGCAGTTGGTAATGGCTGGGCCAGCCCTGTCACCGCACACAAATTGTCAGGACGGTGCTGGAGAAACCCCTGAGTGCCCTGGTTGGCTTGACCAGCCCTGCCTTGAACAGCAGCACAGCCTTCCTGCCACGGGACCTTGCCTGGCCTGCTGCCCTAACTCTGCCTTTACAGTTTACAGTGTGGCATCACTGCATTCTGGTCAATGAGGAACTGCATGTACAACAGTAGTCCCATAAGATTATAATGTAGTTGAAAAATTCTTATCCCCTAGTGACACCAAAGCTGCCCAGACATCATAAGGCAAGGCATGTGTTTATGGTGATGCCGGTGTAAACAACCCTACTGCACTGCCAGTTTCATAAAAGTATGGCACATATGATTATGTACAGTACATAATACTTGATAATAAACAACTATGTTGCTGGTTTATGTATTTACTATACTTTTTATTCTTAATTTATAATGTACTCTTCCTACTTACTAAAAAAAAAGTTTGGCACAGGCTCTGTGACTCAGTTGGGATGTCTTGCCTCACACCAAAGGGTTAAGGATTTGATTTGAAGTTAGGGCACATACCTAGGTTATGGGTTCCATCCTCACTTGGGGCATGTACAGGAGGAAAACTGGTAGATGTTTCTCTTTTTTCTCCTTCTCTTAAAACACACACACAAAAAACATTTGGACCCAGGTAGCTCAGTTAGAGAGTCATCCCTGATACACCAAGGTTGTGGGTTCAATCTCCATTTAGAGAACATAAAACAATCAACTGATGAATGCATAAATATGTGAAACAACAAATGGATGTTTCCCTCTCTCAAATCAATTTTTTTAAAACAAAGAATTTGCTATAAAATAGCATGCTGTTACACTGCTCATACATCTCCTGTTTACTGCAACTCTTTTTTTATTTAATCCTCACCCGAGGATATTTTTTCATTGGCACCTCGACCTGAGATCTAACCTGCAACCTAGGTATGTGCCCTGAATGGGAATTGAACCCTCAACTTTTTGGTGCATGGGAAGATGCTTCACCCAACTGAGCCACCTGGCCAGGGCTATTGCAACACTTGATTGCATGCCTCATTTTCTCTTGTGCTTGGTTTAATCTCATGTTGCTTTATAAATTTGGTGTAGCCTAAGTGTATAGTGTCTATAAAGTCTACTGTGTGTAATGTCCTAGGCCTCCACATTCAGTCACTACTCTCTCACTGACTCTGAGAGCAACTTCCATTCATGGTAAGCACCCTATATCTTTTATATCATATTTTATTGTACCTTTTCTATATTTAGATATGTTTGGAAACACAAATACTTACCATTGTGTTACAACTGCCAACAGTATTCAGTAGAGTAACATGTTGTATAGCCTAGGAGCAATAGGCTATACCAGCAATTTAAAAGCGCTGTGCAGCAAGAATTTTTACATATACATACCTGACTACTTAGTCATAGGAACTGACCTCTTGTCCCTTAGATAGTCAAATAAAAAAATGACAACAGGAGATACCAAGATGGCAGCAGATTCAGTGGAAGCTACAATGACACTCTCCCGGGACCAAACTGGAATTACAACTAAAACATAGAAAAACCATCCTGAATAATCAACTGAAGACTGGCTGGAGAGAACCCTCATAACCAAGGACGAAAAGTGGAGATCACATAGAGGCTGGTAGGAAGTATGGAAGCCCGAAAGGGCTGGCTGGGCTCCCACAGGCAGCAGCTGAAGGTCCGGAGGATATCTCAGCTGTGGGCAGTTTCCACTTAGAATTCTGGGGTCTAAACCCCAAGCTGAGCTCCCCTGCCCAGAGCACCAGAACTAAGAAAGGTGCCCACATTACTGGCTGTGAAAAGCAGAGGGGTTCCTGTCTGCCAAGGGGAGATGGCTGGAAATGCAGGCACCCTATTAACGGGTCAGTGCAAAAACTTTCATGTGCAGCCACTCGCCTTGGAATCCAGCAGAGGGAGGGCACAGTGGACTAGAGTGGTATGAGGTGAATCTAGGGTTGCAGGCTTGGAGCTAGAGCTCAGAGAGTGCCCCTCTGGATTCCTGTGCTGAGTCATTCCCCCATATGGCAGAGGACATCTTTCTCAGGCAGACATTTACCATCCAGGCAACTTTTGCCTAGGGGGAAGCAATTGCCCCATCTATTGAAAACCTCTCACCCCTCTCTGTGGAGTTTACTCCTTGCTGTGGTCTACAGCCTAAGGATCATTAAGAGACTATAAATAACAATCAGCCTCTGGGTGCTTTCAGTCTTTGCCTGATCTGTTTTTGGACCCAGGGCTTGGAAAAGCAGACCTTGGTGCACATCTTTGTTCTTTCCAAACACACCTAGCCCCAGCAGAGGGAGCCTCAAGCTGTGGAGTGCTAATACCTCCAAAAAGGGTACTGAAGTCCAGTCACAAACAGTGTTTGACATTAGCCTGCACAAGAGACCATCCAGAAAAACTGGGAGTCCTAGCAGATCTACCTAATACATAGAAACAAACCCAAATAGGTAGCCAAAATGGGGAGACAAAAAATCAAGCCCCAAATGAAAAAACAAGAGAATTCTGCAGAAGAAGAGATCAATGAAATGAGGATAAGCAATCTATTAGATATAGAGTTCAGAATGCTGATCATAGGGATGCTCAACAGCATGAGAAAAGAAATGGAAACTATGAAGGAAATTAAGGATGACATAATAAAAATAAAAAAATGCATTGGAAGGCATAAACAGCAGATTAGGGGAAGCTGAGGATCAGATCAGCAAATTAGAACACAGGGCAGAAAAAAATCACTCAATCAGAGAACCAAAGAGAAAACACTTAAAAACAGGAGGGAAGTTTAAGGGAGCTGTGGGACAACATGAAATGTAACAATATTTGCATCATAGGAATGCCAGAAGATCTAGAATGTAAGCATGGGTTAGAGACCATGTTGAAGAAATAATGGCAGAAAATTTCCCTAACCTAGTGAAGGAAAGTCACACAAGTTCAGCAGGCACAGAGCGTCCCAAGCAAGAAAAATCTGAAGAAGCCCACACCCAGACACATCATAATTAAAATGGCAAATATTAAAGACAAAGAATCTTAAACAAGAATCAAGACAAGAGAAAGGCAATTTGTTACCTACAAAGGAACTCTCATAAGGCTGTCAGCTGTTTTCTCATCAGGAACTCTACAGGCCAGGAGAGTATGGCATGAAGTATTCAAGGTAATGAAAAGAAAGAATCTAAACCAAGACTATTCTGTCCAGCAAAGCTATCATTCAAAATAGTTGGTGAAATAAAGAGCTTCCCAGACAAAAAACACATACACACAAAAAAACGGCTAAAGTTATTTATTACCACCCAACCAACATTGTAAGAAATGTTCAAACGACTACTGTAATAAGAAGTAGAATGCTTGGTGTAGCTCCCCTGTGAAACCATTGGGACCAGGGCTTTTTTTGGCGGGGAGTGTTTTGATTGTTGCTTTAATTTCTTCAGTTATTATTGGCCTATTCAGGTTTTTTTATTCTTCCTGATTCAGTTTTACATGATCTCACTTGTATGTGGAATCTAATGAACAAAATAAACTGATGAACAAAATAGATCCAGAGATATAAAAGCATGGAACAGACTGATGAATCTCAAAGGAAGGCAGGGGTGGGGGAGTGGGTGGGGAGATATTAATCAAAAAACTTAGTTGCATATAGGCATAGCCCATGGACACAGACAATAGCATGGTGAAGGCCTGGGGGTAGTTAATGTGGGGTGCAGAGGATCAGTGGGGGAAAAAGGGAGACATCTGTAATTCTTTCAATATTAAAGATAAAATTTTTTAAAAGAATCAGAAAATAATTTTAAAGAATAAAACAATAACCTTAACTATAAATGGGTTAAATGCTCCAATAAAAAGATATAGGGTAGCTGACTGGATAAGAAAACATGACCCAAATATATACTGTCTGCAAGAGACTGGCCTCAGAACAAAAGACTCACACAGAATGAGAGTGAAGGGATGGGGGAAAAAATGCCATGCAAATGCAAATGAAAAAAAGTTGGGGTAGCAATACTCATATCTGCCAAAATAGACTTCAAAATGAAGACCATAATGAGAAACAAGAAAGGTCACTAGATAATACTAAAGGGATCGATCCAACAAGAGGCTATAACCCTGATAAATGTACATGCACACAATATACAAGCACCTAAATTTATAAAAAATGTTTTGGAGGACTTTAAGGGAGAAGTAGACAGCAAAACAATCATAGTAGGGAATTTTAACACCCTACTGACTTTACTGGATAGGTCTTCCAGACAAAAAATCAACAAGAAAACAGTGACCTTAAATGATACACTAGATCAGATGGGTTTAATTGATATTTACAGAGTTGCAGAATATACATTCTACTCAAGTGCACATGGGATATTTTCAAAGATAGAGCACATGTTAGGACACAAAACAAGTCTCTGCAAGGTCAAGAAGATTCAAATCATATCAAACATCTTCTTGGACCACACTGGCATGAAATTACATATCAACTATAATAAAAACACTAAAAGACATTGAAACACATGGAGGCTAAATAGCATGTTATTAAACAATGAATGGGTTACCAATAATATCAAGAAAGAAATAAAAAACTTCCTGGAAACAAATGAAAATGAACACACAGCAACCCAAAATCTATGGGACACAACGAAAGCAGTCCTGAGAGGGAAGTTCATAGCACTACAGGCGTACAAGAAAAAATTCTAATAGACTCTCCAACTGTACAACTTAAAGACTGAGAAATAGAACAACAAGGAAAGCCCAGAGTAAGTAGAAGGAA